CCCACCAATCAATCAATCAATCAATCAAAAGAGAAAAAAGAAAGTAAAAACAAAAAACGAGAAAAGCGGGTTTTCTCGTTTTTTGTTTTTACTTTCTTTTTTCTCTTTTGATTGATTGATTGATTGATTGGTGGGGGATGGGTCGCCCCCCCAATCCCCACCCAATCACACACACACGCACACATACACACACACACACACACACACACACTCACTTTCTTTCGCCGAAGTTGCGCGGGCGGGAACCCCCCGCGACGCAAGTGAGTGTGTGTGTGTGTGTGTGTGTGTGTGTGTGTGTGTGTGTGTGTGTGATTGGGTGGGGGTTGGGGGGGCGACCCATCCCCCACCAATCAATCAATCAATCAATCAATAAATAAATATAAAAAAAAGAAAAGTAAAAAAAACGAGAAAAGCGGGCAGTTTTTCTCACACACACACACGCACACACACATACATAGAGGGCAGTTTTTTTACTTTTTTTGTTCACTTTTTTTTTTTCCACGTGTATTCTGCCACGTGTCCGCGGCCCATTGGGCCTGACCCGTTGATCGAATTTCAACGGGAAGCCCCCGTTGTACCGTTCAACGGGGATTCAACTCGGACCCCGGGGGTGTACAACGGGTACAACGGAGTTGTACAAAATCCGTTGCGAGTTGAATGGACACATAGGTGGCAGGAGTCGTGTGCTGTTCAACACTCTCCTCTATGATGTCCTTATCTTCTGAATAATGTGTTGACTCCGAGTCATTGGACTTCGTCTGCTCGTCCTTTGTCATGTCTCCCCGGGGAGGAATCAGATTCGTTGTGGGGAGGATAGATCCTCCACAGGCTAAAGAGCAACACCAACTTGCATTTCTCGAGCCTGACTTGTGTTCACGACAGATCCTCCGCCGGCTGAAGGGCTCCAAACTCCCAAGTCGCTTGCGGGAGTGTTTCCTACATGTGTTTCTCGAGCCTCACTTATTGTGTGGAGGATAGATCCTCCACTGGGGGTTAGGCTTTGAACATCGGCGACAGTGGCAACTTCGTGGACGGGTTCGGAAAGTCTGTGGACTCCAGGGACGCCTGCCGAATGGCTTCCTACTGGCATTTCCGCACATGTAGCGGTAGAGCTCTTCGACGGCACGTCGGCTGCACAATCTGGTGTGGGTCGGAAAGATCCTCTGTCCATAGTCTCCGCATGGGCGACTTGCGACTTAGGGAGTAACTCTATGGAGCGGATAGATCCGCCATCGGTGGAAAGGCACCCCACGTCCACATCCATCCTCTGTTCGGACTCCTCAACATTCACGGATCCAACTACCGCCGGTTCCAAAGCGCACGGGAAATTGGAGCCTGCAGAAACTGTGTATGGTACGTTCCCGACAGGGAGCGATTTGGACATTGTCGAAACTTCGGCTAGGACTGTGGGGAGGATAGATCCTCCCTGAAGAATACTTCATCAGTCAGTTGAGCAAGCCGAAAACCTGCACTAGATTGTGAGCTCGCCCCTTCTACTGCACTAACGCTACTGTGCAGACGAGCACCCATTCCAGGCGGGATGGTTCCGACAGAACTCCGTGGATATCCACTTTT